TGTATAAGCTACTAGAGGTTGGCTGGTCTCCTTGGCTCAGGCCATCCAGGAAAGATGACTGACCACAGTAATATGAGATGAAAGACTCTGGGATCAGCAAGAGGAGAAAGACAGGCGTAGGACTTCCCAAGGCAGTGAGCCCACGCAAGGCTCCAAGCAAGAAAGCTCGTGCTTGGAGTTACCTGGTTCTGCAGGTACTGGGGCCCAAAGGAAAATTCCAGTAACGCCCCCTCCGTAATTACGAGCAGACCCTAGGTTCAACTTCCTAGATCACAGGTGGAACCTTTTCTTTCAAAACTCACTGGGCAGGCTGTGGAGCCCATGCTAACTAAGTAAAGAGAAGTCTCCACTAAAACTCAGTACCCCAATTACAAAAAAGCCTTTTCAGGGGTTAATGCTCCTGCAAACTGGATCTGAAGACCTGGTGGAAGAGGAAATGGAAAAGAGTTTTCACTACCGGCTACTTCGCGCTGGCGCAGCCCAATCGTGTGTGCAGCGGTCGGTGCGTTCAGCGTTTTATGGCTTAGGAAACCGACACTCAAGAATACAGAAAACTGCATCCTCGCTCAAGGAGGTAGCCCTTGCTGGGTCAGAATCCTGAGCCAGGCTCCCCGGGGCCCATGTTCTTTCTCTTTCTCCACCAGTTAGGAACCGCCTGGTGAAGGGTGGCCAATCCTATGGAAACGGGGAGGAGGAGCCCGAGGGCTGGGCGGTGGGCGCAGTTCCGCCTTTCCGGCGGAGCCGCGCGGCCTGGAGCTGCGGGCGCCGCCCGGTCTCACGTGCCCCAAGCTGGCGGCACTGCCCCGAGGACCCGCGGGCCGGAGTCCAGACGGTCCCGCCCGCACAAGGCGCGGTTGATCAGAGTGCCAGGAAGTAGGTGCACAGGGCACGCCCGGGGGCCGGCAAACGACCGCAGGATAGCCTGGCGTTTGGCCGCCAGCGCTCCTCCCCGCGGAGCCCGCCTTGTCAGCACCTTCCCCTCAGCTCGGCCCCGGCGCGGACCTACAGTGGGTCACGAGGCGGGCGCCGTAGCGGCCGCTGTGGGCGCGGCCCACTCGGCCGCGGCGGGAACAGCGCTCGGCGCCCTTCCCCCCCCTTCGACCGCGCGCGCCACGTCCCCGGCTCCGCCCCCGCAGGCCACGTGGGGAACCCCGGTGACGTCACCACCCACCAGCACTCGCCTTCCCGCGCTCTCCAGAAAAGACGCGAAAGTGGTGACGTGTCCGGTGTCCAGTGCGGCTGCGCCGAAGGAATCGGTCACTGAGCGTCCTGCGGCGCCGCCTGGTGGAAGAAAAGCCGGAAGCTTTTTTTTTTTTCCCCCAAAGCGGCCGGAAGCGGCGTAGCGGGATTGAGGAGAACGTGATTGACGTCACTTGGTAGAGGGGGCGGGGGTGGTCGCCGCGTGACTTCCTCGGTCAGCAGTGTCGTGCTTGTCTTTTCTTCCTTCTCAGTAGGAGTGTGGAAGCGTAATTTCCATTCCCCTTCGTTTAAGGTTATAACCT